GCTAAAGAAACAGCACCATAAAGGGATGACCAATACGTGACAAGACAATCGTAATATGCCGCTCTGGTGAGCATGGCGAGCGACGTCGGGCACGACAGACGACTCGCCCTGCCTGGCCGCTTGAATCTGAGCGTTGAAGGGACGAGAATGATATGGCTCGGCATTAACTTTTGTCTTTGCCTGAATTCATGCAAGTTTCGCTGTTCCAATCGATAAACCGATGTACATCGAGGAGTTGCGGCAAAATACGTCGCGCGCGACGACGCAACATGTTACGATGTCTTGTCCGTCTTCCAGACAATGATAAAAAAGCGAAGAAGCTCGCAAAAGGGGGACGATAAGAATGAAAGGAGACATGCCACACGAGCATTCGGAATTCGAAACAAGAAGAAAGACAAGAGCTTTTGCAAGTTTCTGCCCCCGACAAGAGCTTTTGCAAGTTTCTGCCTCCAATTCGAGATAAAATACTATCGATGCAGACCAAAAAAAGCAATGAAATAAAGGAACTAAGGCTAAATACTCACTGACTTCTCAAATCCGGTAGCTATGGAGCAGACGTCCCTGGAGCTGAACTGATCGTTTTCACGTGAGAACCACCAGCCTCGTACGTCTCCTCGCTCTTCTGATTCGACATTTGGCACCAGTGGGGCGCTGATGAACTCGAAATCAGCATATTTCTTGAACTGTTTCCTTAAACTCCCAGTTTTTTCACGGAATAGCACGTCGTTTTGACGATATCCATGAAGACAAAGAATCCGCAGCCGATTTCTCGTGATTGTCATCACCTAAAAACCTAACCAGCTGTAAAGTTCATAAAACTATCCCACGAAAAATTGGATTTGTCGGTCATTTTCGTTCGGAGGAAGATTTCAAGCACTGCTCAAACTTGTTCGCTGTGGATGCTAGGACGTGCTAGCGGGCTAGGTTTGGCGCAGCGCCAGCCCATCCTCTATCAGTAATGGAAGCGGGCTGGCAACAACAATTGGTGGAAAACGGGCTAGTGCTCCATCACGCCCCGGCATCAGCAGCAAACAAGTCTGTACATCTTGACGAGAAATAGTAAAACATGGAGAGAGTACTGTATGCGGACAACTGGCTCAATCAGTGAAAACCCAGACAATGCAAAAGATGACTGGCTTTTATTAAGAAATCAGAAAAATCAATCCACAATATGAGAGTAGATCGGGGAACGCGAGTGTGGCGCCGATGGTTGTGCTATAGGAGTGTCCGTGAGATAAGAGATGACGCTTGTCGCGGTCGTCAGATGAGCAGTCCTTGTGGGAACTGTCCTCGACGCTATTCTGCAGTGTAATTGAGGATTGGCCAGTAGGACGTGAGCAGAGTTCGTGGAGAATAGAGTGAGTGAGGAAAGTGGGAACTCGGAGTTAAGGCGCTCGAGAACGCGTTCCGCGATGAGAGAGAATGAGGGATAGTTTTAGGGATTGTGTGGATATGCTCTGAAAAGAGAGGAATCGAGTCGTGCCGCAGACTGTTGTGAGGAGCAACATTTCGGGTTCGGATTCAGTGGCTCGTGCGAGCTATTCGAGCAAGGAAGAATACGCGAGCTCGAGTGAATGCGGATAGTTGTTAAACGGCTCCAAGCACTGTTCGACGCGAAAAAGAGGGAGAGCGGCATTTTGCACTTTCGCTGATTCTTTTCGTTAGTTCATGTTAACTACCAGGTCTCACATTGATGTGAACTCTCATAAAGCTGCAAAATGGTGCAAGTGAGCTTTCATCAGAGGAATTTAGAGGTCTCTACAAGGTGGCCTGAACAAGCTTCGATGAGCACCATTTGGCGCCCCCATCAAGCCGAACTGTGCCGTCGCCCCATTTGGCAACTGAGCAAATGCTGCTGACTTATATACAGTATACAGCATCAAAAAAGAAGCGGAGCCATTACAGTAACTATGGCACTTAAAAGCAATCGTGGTTCAGGGATATGAGGATTTTGCTGTTGGGTCAAAGGGACGGGATAACAGGGCATGCCATCGTTGTAATGATCGCAACGGGGGGGGGGATCGTATTTGACCGCGAGGGTGGGAGGGGGTCGTATGTATTTGGTCTAAGAAAAAATTTTTTAGTAACTGATTTCTCTTGTTTTACAGACGGTATAAAGGGGGGGACGTTGTTGAGAGAGGGAGATCTATACAACTACTACTTCCGACAGTTGATTATGATGGTTAAATCTTGACGACTTCCCCTACCCCTTCCCCGCCCCCCGCTCGACGGAAAATTCTTGGCTGAAAAACTGGAAATTTTCGGGAAAAAGTGGTAGGAAGTTGGGAAAATCTAGGAAAGTGGTAGGTAGCAGGGGGGGTCGTATTTTTCAGGAAATGATCACAACGCGATGGCCCACCCTGCGGGATAAGCTTTATAATAAGAGAACCCCTTCAATTTCTGACAGTTGAGGTCTTGAGTGCTTGAGTGCCAAGAAAATGGTCCACTCCATGGGATTACGTCAAAGAAAGCTCCACAAAAAAAGTAGACGGAAGCCTAACTGCAAAAAGATTGTGAACAATTTTAAGCCCAACAGAAGGACGTATATTTTACAACAGAATCGAACTCGGCGCTAATCCAGTAAATGTAGCCTCTACACTGCACATAGTTAAGGCTACAAAAAGGGCGCCAGTAACCTTGGTGTGGAAGTGGGGGGAGGGGGGCACGCCTACAGGCTTTTCGATATGAATCTTTGTCTTTTTTCTTTTGTCTTTTCACAGCCGTGTCCCGTTCTGCGTCCTGCGAATTTCTGTCAAGAACCCTGTAAACTCCTGCTCAACTTGACGACATGGTACCATTCACTGGAACACCATCCTCCCCCCCCCCCATTCTTTTTCAAGCCTTGACTAATAATTCTGACACGTTTGACAGGAGTTTACAGCAGTTTTGCAGGTGATTACAGGGCCTACACGGTATTGACGAGGTGGTCCTGTATACACATGAATATAGATAAAAGAAACCGAAATCGAAATGCAGTTTGGCCCCTTTCCAAGGCTATTAGCCGAAAAACATCCTATTGCATTGTAAAATGTGAGAAAAAAAGCGCCGTGACTAAGGATAGGGGGAAATGGATTACTCACACCGCAGCTTATTCACCACACCCAGGCTAGCTAAAAAGTTCTCAGCCCTTTGATTCACAGTTGTAGAGTTGCACATCTCAACCTCGAAGGTAGTCAAACATTGGAATAGCCGGAGAACGAGAAAGATTTGAACAGCTCGGAACATGAAAAAGCCCTTTGCGCAGAATTGGGGCTACCGTAATCGGACAAACTATTGCATGCCCGCCCCTATGTCAGAAGAGCTGCTCAAATTCAAGAAGCAATTTAAAACTTCTATTGAAGTCCAACTCAAGTCGCGGGATTGAAGAGATCTATAGTCTGGAACATCGGCGGGCGCTAACGTAGTTGGTGGAGGTGGGGGGGGGGAGGGGGGCACTCGGCGCGTCTCTGCATCCCTTCCTCAAAAAGCCTTAGGCAGCGTTCATACTTCGCGACAGCAGCGGCGATCGCGGCGACCTCGGCGATCGCCGCTGCTCTCGCGAAGTATGAACGCTGCCTTAGACTTAGAGCGCGTTCTTACTTCGCGATCGCGCGATTGTGAGTTATGAACGCGCTCTTATGGCTTAGGGAAATCGATACGTGGCGCTGATGAGCGGCTCCTCCCCCCCCCCTGCCCACTCCCACAACTAGGCTGACGCCCATGGGTTAGTCACAGAAAGTTTTGGCACAATGACAGTTTTGTCAGTCGTGCAATTGTTCCATTCTTATAAGTGCAAAAAACGAAAAAAAAAGAATTTGGAATGTATTACATGGAAATCCCCAGTACTGAACAACACTACCACTGCTTCAACCACTACAGTGCTTATTACTCAAACTACACTGCTCACTTTGCCACCTAAGTTACTTAAGTGCCATTAGTCGAAAATAAGTCCGAGCTAACCCCTGCATTTGGACCTTTTCTGAAGGCGACTGGAGAAACTAAGCCCGCTAGGTTTCGTTCTTGCCGGCAATTTCTTATGATCCAGGGTTTAAACCGAATTGCGGATTTGTTAGCTGCAGGTTGGAGCGGTGCGATTAGCGATAGAGCTCAGGCCGTGCGACCCAGCTACTAAATCGCTGGTGAGGTGAAGTATGAACGCGCTTAGTTTCAGGCTCTAGACTTTGTTACTGTGTCTGGTTTCTTTATCTTCCGAACACCAAAACAGTAATGCTCAATGTGAAATACCTGCAGCTAACAAACTGTGAAAATTGGAGGTGGAATCAATAGTTAAGGCGAACGAACACCGACCCACTCACGACCGCATGCTCGTCTTTCACTTACTGGAACTACGCGCTGAGCAGCCCATTTACGTCATTCAGCCAGCTGTTCCTTACATACAATCCCTCATGAGTGCTACTGTTATGAGCAAAAGGTACTATTAATTAGCCACTCACGCCAGAAGAATCGAAACGCTCCCTTTGGGATCCACTACGCATTGGACTTGACTTGATGACTTGACAAAGGTATCGCTGAGGATCTTGTTAGTCACCAAGCTTCTAGAAGGTTATTGAAACCGTTTGAATATCAAGAATAATGGCGCTTTCAGCCACTGCACTACTTTCAATGATCGAAGTGATTACAGTCTGATTCGTTGGGGATTATGGGGCGGGCGTATCCGCGCAGCAGCGTTTGGCGCGCCGCCAAAATCTTTCTCCACCAACAGCTGAAGCGGGTAAATGGCAATACCTGGTGGAAAACGACTGAGCGATATGATACAGTCTTGTCGCTTGCCGAAAAAAAGAAAAAAAAGAGGTTGACGCTGCGCCAAACGTAAACCTTGATACGATCCATCATCCGAGCGAACAAGTCTATATAACTTCGGGCCACAAACAGAGGAATTTTTCAACTCAATTTTACAGTTCTCAAGGGAAGCTCCAGAAGCCTATTAGCATGATGACCATCCGAAGAAAAAAACCGCCTCATATAGGGATTATCGTACTCAGCAACATGACTATGAATCGGAATGACGCACATAATTAGTGACGATTGAATTCAACCAAGTAACGTAAACCAAAGTAAATTCCAACCAGCAATCAGAAATTCGGACAATGGCACGACGAGTGAAAGCGACAGAGGCCTCGCTATCGATTTTATTTAAACTGCAACTGTGTTAGAATGCTTGACAGGTGCTTCCCATCGCTCGAGCCACCTCGATCAGTCGTCGTTGTCCGAGCCCAACAGCCGCGGGTTCACTGATAATGACACCGGTCCAAACCAGAACCGATGATCAAAAAGCTGATGAAAGCACTAATTGCTCATTGTTAAAGCCCTAAATGAAAATGGCACTGGTAAATGTGACATTTCCAACCGAAAAAATTAAAGACACATTGTACGAACGCTCGACAGGTGGGTCTTTCTGTGGTCCTTTCCGTACGGCTGTGGCTAGGTCCGGAACAGTAGAAGAGCCCTCACTCAATTCGCAAGTGCACGACAATGAAGCTGGGAACGTGTGATATTCAGTGTTATTCATGTCGTCACCCGTCTTCTTAAACGATCTTTTGTTCATACTTCGCGTCAGCGTCCACCAGCGTCCGCCACTATTTTCGCGGGCCTTTCTGAACCAAAACTGCCCACGAAAACGCTGTTGTACGCTGGTGGACGCTGGCGCTTGCAAATCGATACCGGTACTTCCTCAAGGGACGCCGGTGGACGCTGACGAGCGCTGGTGGACGCTGGCATTCGCTAGATCGATATCCATACTTTCCTGGTCGCTGGAGGACTCTGGCGGAGGCTGATAGACGCT